GATTTCACTTCTTTCAAAAAAACTCTTCTTTGCATACTCAAAAGTTCCCTTTTAAATCTTATCTTCCTAGCATCCTTACCCCACAACTCGCATCCATAAAGCATTACTGGCTCAACACCCTTTGAACAGCGTCAAAGTCATGCCTCTATTGGCTCTGGCCTCTATTGGCTCTGGCCTCTATTAGCTCTGGCCTCTATTGGCTATGGCCTGTCCTGCTAATTTCGCTAAGACTCCTTTAATTTTTTCGCATATTTCCTCCACATCTTTTTCAAAAATCATAACAATTACCTACAACCAATCCTTAATCAATCCTGACAACATACCAAATTCCTGTTGATCACAACAATAGCGTTTTCCAGATTTTTTGGGACCCGCCCATCCTGTTATATAACCCCATACCTTACTGTTATATAATCTAATATTCTTTTCTGGGATAATAAAACATGTTTAAGACAAATATAAACAACGTGCACCTACCATAAGTAATCATACAGAATAATGCAGCCCATCCGTTACAATACATGAAATTAGATAACAAATTATTGTTCCTTCAATATTAATACCATCCACTCTAAAACAAATTAATATTCTGTTATTTAGTTTCAGTAAAACAAAGATCTTGAAAATCACAAAAAATAGTGTAACTGCTTTACTGTAAGTGGTCTTTTAAATTCATTGAACCTTTAAAAACGTGGTTTGTAGTATAACAACAATTATTTAATCGCAACAACAGAGTACATTTTTATTGTTTAAAAAAATCTAATATCCTTATAGCTCATGATGTTTCAATTAATTTCAGATTTAGTATATCCAACATTTCAAAGTATTCATCTGTTCAAATGTAAACAAACATTTTCTCCCTAAGAATAACATGGGAACTTTGAAGGCCACTGGGGCTGAGCCCTGATGGAATTTCGAAGATTTCTTGTTTGATGGCAAATCTACAGGCCACTGATAAGGACTGTATATGCAAAACGTCACATATGCACGGTGTTATAGATATGCGCCATGTCTTTAAAATAATTTGAGAAAACCTGCACAGGTTCTGAACCAAATCAGTTTTACATAATCCACAAAATTCTCCAATTATTGGAGAGAATCATATTTTTATATGCAAATTACATAATTTATGAGAAAAGTTGTAGTTGGGTGCGTTATTATTCATACTCTGTTAGCAATATTTAAGAAATAAAACAAAACTAGATTTCATCACTAGGGCAGAAAGTGACTCTTTTCAACCCGAGCTTGAGTTTCAGGGAATGAGAATGGGTTGAAGAAACCCTTTTTGCCTTTGTAACGAACTATATTTTTTTTCAATATTGTAGTATTGGGCTATTAAGCAAACTAGTTTAGATAGCAAAAATACTTTTCATGCAAAAATAATATCAAAACGACTTCAGTTTTTATTTTTTTTATTTTGGTAATGTAGCTATTGGTAAAAATTCAACAATAGGCTGCAACCAACAATTGATATTTACTTTCAATACTTGCGATTGCTTACAATCAAAGTTTACGACAGCAGAGACACTGTATTTTTGTTGCTATTTACTAAGGAAGAAAACGAGCTCTTTTAGACCCGCAACTCATGTATTAAAAATTAATGTTTCTGCTGCAGTAGGCCTACGAAAAAATAGTATATTTCGCTACGCCAGTGTTAAGTCCCCTAGTTTCGCTATTTTTGTTCTTTCATGTTTTTTAGCGAATTTCCCTATAGGGAAGTAGCTATTACCGTAGGTCTCATGGTAAGACTTAGGGCCGGGACCGATTTACTTTTTCATTTTAATGTCCCCAGAGGCCAAAAACACCATTCGTTCAAATTTTTATATATGTATATATATATATATATATATATAGATTTATATATATATATATGTGTCCGTGAACACGATAACTTGAGTAATTTTTATCCGATTTTGATGAAATTTGGTTTGAAGGTGTAAGGCGGGATAAACTTGAATGAGTTCGCGATCCAGCATGATCGGACCATGGGAACAGGGTTTTATAGGGGGTTTTATGGGGTAAAAATTGGTTTTTCTCACTTCTTACCCTCAAAACACAAAATTTCCCAATTTTTCTCTAAACCTTCTTAAAGAGCTTAAAAAAACAAACAATTCAGTATATCAAAGTGTTTTTGTACGGTTATTGGTTAGGGAGAAAACTAAAAAAATGGTAAATTTAAAATTCCCATGTTATTCTTATGGAGAATATTGTAAAATGTTGTAGTTTGCTTGTTTATGGATATATTTTGATCAAACTTGGCAAATTTATTTATTTTATAGTAAGCTATCAATATTTTACTAAAAACACACTACTTTATTAGTTTCCTTGTAGCAGCAAACCTAGGTACTCGTTAAACCTAATGTTATTTAAATAGATCAATTGAAAATCAATTCGGCCAAATGGAAATTCGCTTAGACGGCAGGTTTGCTGCGGCGGGGGTATTTTTATGTTGTTATGCTATGACAAAATAATCACCTTTGACAAATAATCTTTACATTATTTAGGCTAATTAGAAGCTAAACGAATGTTTACAATGCAAAATATATGTTATTCATCTTTTTGGATTTTATCGACATAAAAACAAACATTTGTTATTGTTTCATCAACTGTTCAATGTTCAATTTTCAACAACCAAAATTGTACAATCAATTTGAGTTTGAACTTTAAATAGAAGGCATAAAAATTAACATTTAAAGAAAAACTATAGCATTCTTTAGGTTAGGCCTTCTATAAAGTTCAAATTTACATTGATTTTACAGTTTTTGTCGTTACAAATTGAAACAGTTTATGGTACAGTAACATAATGTTTGATTGTTTATAATGGCAAAATCCAAAAAGATAATAAACATTACTGTTGCTAAGTAAACAAGTTAATGATGGATTTAGCAGTCTATAAACATAAACAAATAACATAAACAGGTGTTTTCACAGCAGTGAAGCAAAAAAAAATCATTTCTTCTATAAATTTGCATTTGCACCCATCACAACATGTCAGAATCTCGGATGTGAACGTTGGCTTCCCCAAACAGATTGGTCTCCGGGCCGGAGCAGTTATCGTTGCAGCTCTGGAGATGTGATCTCTAAGTGACCGTCTTTAAATAGACAGTGAACACACAAACAAGTCGTTTAAGCAATGTCAATGTCAGTGAAATCATTCAGATTAGAAAAAGTGTCGCATCTCAGTTTGACCGTGACATTTTATACGCGTGTATTAGAGCCAGTTTCAAGGCCAAAGCGTATCTCATATCGACTTACATACTGGATCTCACTGTAAATGTGAAAAATCAAATGGAGTTTTTTAACATGGCATGACAAACATGTATCAGACATTTAAATTAAATGGAGTATCACGTATTTTCTTTCAAAAAGCACCCCTTCTGCTGGATCTCCAACAGCTGGATTTTTACTTGGATCTCATTCCGACACATTTGTAGGTATTGGTGTCTGTGTGTCTGGATGTGTACAGAGCTAGAGACTACACCTGTGGTCCGATTTCGATGAAATTTGGTATGTAGGTTCTAATTCATGGTATCTCCAGGCGCTTTTTTCATTTTTTTGAAATTTTGATTTTTAATGGGAATTTTCCCATAAAAACCCATAAAAAACCGGAAAATCGGATTTTCTCAAAAATGGCCCAAAACGATTTTGATAAAAATTTAGTATATTGTAGGCCTTTAAATTCTGAACAAAATGGTACAAGTCCCATTTCTGTAAAAATTACGATTTAAAAGTTATGGTAAATTATGTTATTTTCCCATAAAAAACCCATAAAATAACAAAAATAGGATTTTAGACAAAAATCCGGTTTTTATTTAACATAGTATGTTATGGTCCTTACATTTTTTATAGTTTTTTTTTCATTTTTTAGAAATTTTTATTTTTAATGGGGACTTTCCCATAAAACTCCATAAAATAACGGAAAAATAAGACTTTCCTAAAAATGGCCCAAACGATTTTGATAAAAATTTAGTATGTTATAGTCCTTTATGTTCTGAACAAAATGGTACAAATCCCATTTCTGTAAAAATTACGGTTCAAAAGTTATTGTAAATTATATTATTTTCCCACAAAAACCCATAAAATAACGGAAAATCAGATTTTTCCGAAATTGGCTCGAACGATTTTGATAAAAATTTAGTATGTTATAGTCCTTTAAATTCTTAAGAAAATTGTACAAATCCCATTTCCGTATATTTAATCTCACCGCTTACACATGATAAAGGTCGTTGACAAACTTATGGGAGAAAGTATGTGTCAGAATGCTGATACCGTTTATTATTTTTTATGTTCTTTTTATAGCACAGAATTTCTTCTTAAAAATGGTATACTTACATTTTTGATTACTAACCTAGAAATGTATGAAAAATATATTTTCCATAACATTGCAGTGACGTTTTAAAGGTAAAACTAGTAGACCCTTGGAGGCTTTTCTTGCCGATTTCCGCAACTTTACTTTTTTAAACTTTAATGTAATTTTTTCAGGACTGGTAATACATACAGCTGTGAAATTTTTACCATGTAGTCTTAGTGACTTATTCTAAACACAGACATAAGGAATTCATCATATCTTTAGTAGAAGCATGTAAAAAAAATAATAAATTTTATTTCTGAAACAATTTTTTTTTATCTATAAAAACCCATAAAATAGTTATTTTTAATTTTAAATGAAAAATCTTGTGTCTGTGACTAGTTAATTAGTTAATATAAAAGTATACCAAATTTCACTATCCTACCTATTCTAACTCCTGAGAAAAGTGACATTTAGTTAACATTACTAAAGATAGGACATCGGACTCCCCTTAAGCGGCAAAGGGCCAGCCAGCAAGGGGGGAGGTGGTATACCAAGCCATGAAATATCCGTCAAAAGCTACACTCGTAACAAGGTGTCAAGGGGTAAACTGATTCCCACTATTATGGACACTGTGTAATGTATAAATTGATATATAGTAAGCAAATACAGTTGATTCAATAACACATAAAGGGCATGTTGGGTTTTATACCTGTTCTGATTTGGCACAGCAACCAAAGCGCTGATCCTTGTATGCGCCTTCACATCCACAGAGCCGGAGGAGTGGGGGGCCAGCATGGCAGCAACCTTCAACAATAAGTCTATCACCACACTGCTGAAGATAAACACTCGATATGCTACCTATTAACCTGCACACTTTGTAAACATGCCTAGTACTCCAGGTTAGTGTTTTAAAAATCTCATAGGTTTTTAACTGACCTTAAATTCAGCTTCCACACAAAAGAGAGCTTTGGTTATATTGCCATCTTCAAAATCAGCAGTTATTAGACTAAATGGTGAATACACTTTTTTATGTAATCAACAAGAAAAAGTGTTTGCGCCCACAGAATTAACACTACTCTTCTCTACACCAGCGGTTTCCAAACTATATCGCAGGAGCACTTTTGGTGGGTTGCGAGAAGAGATAAAACATTAGAATGTTTTTTCCCCCATAGTTTTCCACAGAAAGAACACTTGAGTGAGCTCGGGAAATGTATCGATCGGCGTTCAAGAGACAGGGCAGTGCATTAAAATCTTGTTACATCATACTCATCAATCAACATCACGAGTGTTTCAATTTCAAAAGAAACTGCGTACGATCCAGGAATGAAAGATCTTATGAAACAAATAAAAGAAGGTGCAAATGATCCAATCTACTCAACCAATCAAGGAATTGTATTCACAGGAGAACGTGTCTACATTCCAAGATCACTACGCTCTCATGTTTTAGAAGAGCTTCATGCAACACACATAGGAATGATAAGAATGAGACGACTCACAAGACTCCACTGTTATTGGCCCGGAATTGACCAAGACATTGAAAATAAAGTTCGATCATGTGCAGCTTGCGCTTTACAGTCAAAACAGCCAACTAAAGTTTTTCACCCTTGGGAAATCCCTAAGGAAAACTTTGAAAGAGTTCACATGGACTACGCAGGACCATTTAATGGACACCATTTCCTAGTAGTGATTGATGCTTAATCTAAATGGCCTGAGGTTCGAATAACCAAAAACGCACCATCCACGACAATAGAATTTCTAAATGATATGTTCTCTCCACATGGATATCCTGCTGTACTAGTTTCTGATAATGCCACCATTTTTACTAGCCAAGAATTTATAGACTTTTGCCGACAAAGAGGCATATTTCAAAAATTTATCGCCCCAGGACACCTAGCAACCAATGGGTTAGCGGAACGCTATGTGCAAACGTTAAAGACATCTTTGAAAAATTGTGCTGAATATCCTCGAAAGAATATTAAATCACAAATTTAAGACATACTGTTTCGCTACCGAGCTGTATCTCTACAATGCGGACAATCACCGACTGAACTGTATTTGAATCAAAAGATCAGAACAAAACTAGATGCTCTCAAACCCCCTAAGAAAAACACATCATTACATCCTGGCTTTCAACAAGTAAGTCGCTCATTTAAAGTGGGGGAGAGTGGGTGACGTTCCTTAGACTACTGGAAGTACGGAAAAGTTATTTTTCAACTTGGAGCTCTGCACTACAAAGTCAAACTGGACAACGGTTACATTGGCAAAAGACACATCGATCTGTTGAAGAGAACATCAGTGCCAGAAACAACAGACAATACACACTCCAGCTCATCTCCTAAAGAAAATACCAGTTCGCAACAACAGAACGTGACATTCAAGGACAATGATCTGGAAATTCAGAAATGAGGCTTCAACCCAGTGAACATAATAACATAATAATGTGTAACAGATGACAATGATTTAAAGTACCTGTATCCGTCAAGTGATCCTGGTTTATAGTTGGTTGACTACAGCTGTTTCATGTTAATATTAACACATCTTCAGGTCAAATTGTTGCATTGATTTATTCCATAGAATGGTCGTCATAAGGTTTAAAGTTCACAAAAAATAACACATACACGTACACAAAACATTTAACACTGATTGGCCAAAACACAAAACGAAAAAGCGCGTAATTAACATCGGACACGTACGGCGCCGGTAGAAGGTAGGTCATGACCTACCGGCGCCGTACGTGTCTGATGTTAATTACGCGCTTTTTCATCTGTTATTTTTTTTAAATGTGATTCAAATAATGCAAATAAACCAGTGACAAAATAAGGCTCATTTTTCAACTTACATTTATTTAACTATTTATTTCAATATATAAACTTACAATACAAAACGCACACTAAAGTCCCTTTATATGGTAATTATATCAACATATTACAAGGTTATGTGAGGTTTCCGTTGAAGCGGCACGGTGACGCGGGTGACGCCACTGTGCGGCAGAAATCAACATGTAGTACATACCTGTAAAACTTTGGTGTATACTGAAAGTGTAACACATTTTGACTTTCGATTGTTGTTAGGGGCATCTTGGAGATGACAAAAACTAAATTTCGTGCAGATCGCCTCGGCCGTTCAGGAGGAGTATTTGTAAAACAAAAGCAGGAGTGTACTCAGTGTAGTATAAGAGCTTCGCTTCGCTCCGCTAAATAAATAGGGGAAAAAGGAATAAAAAAAGGCTTAGGCCTAAAAATAAATCAGATTAGACTGCAAGCTCCACCAAACCAAAGACCTACCCATAGCCCTCCCACCATCCTTGGACAAATCACCCAAAGAAAGGAAAGAGTAAAAAAAAAACAAAAAAAAGTAAAAATGGTAAACAACACAAGCAAGGCAGATGTAGGCCTAGGTCTAGGTAATGCTGATGACTCAACAACAGAGCAACCTCTTTGTGCGGTTTGTAGCTCAAATGTACAGGAAAGTGAAGTGACAAAGCAGTCAAGTGTTACTGCCTAAATGGTACCATATTAAATGTGCTGGCTTTACGGAAAAACAATACAAAGCTATCATCTTTAATAAATTCATTCTGACCTGGGTATGTAAAGACTGCATGCAACTCGGACCTAAGACCAAAATGTCACCTGAAAAAACTAAAAGTAACAATCCTAACCAAGACTTATCAAGTAAGTAATGACCAGGACACGCTGTCGCCTTTGAAGGGAGATTCTGAACTTTTGCACACCCAGGCAAATATGCCAAGACTCTCGTTAACCTCAGATATGAGTCAGATGATCCAAGAACAACTCAATTTAATGGTATAGGCCTAATTGAAGTCCTAATGACCGACATCGATGATTTAATCAAACAATTAAAAGAGAAAATGAAAACTTTAAACTCTCGGATACAATTGTAAAAAAATGGAAGTCATCTACAAACTAGAGCAAACCATTCACGACTTAATTAAAGACCTAAACCTAAACTAAAGCCTAAATATTTATGAAAAAAAACAATAAAACTTAACAAAGCTGACAACTTATTGCCAGAAAACCAAACTACACCCTACCCAGCCTACTTGGCTGGTAAACTGGAAAACGCTCCCCAGAATCTAAACTGTAACAATACTAAGATCCAAGAAAACTATGTCTCAAAAATCATCAGATCATAACCAACACCCAGCCAGGTCTTCCCCCACAAGTTGTAAATAACAAAACAGAAGCATTAATAATTAGTGATTCGCTACTCTGAGACAAGACGTATATCATCATTGATGAAAGAATTTAAGGCAAAAATAACCTCTAAAATAATGCCAGGGCTAAAGTGAGGGATTTTAGTAAATACCTTTAAGAAATTAATCAAGCCCCACCTAAAATCATAATAAACATTGGCTGGTCTAACAACACCTTAAACTCTAAGGGGCGGTTCACGAGCTCAGGACTTCATAGTCCGCGACCAGACGTTGGTCCCGGACTATATAAGCGACGACCAAAAAATGGGTTCACGAGTCAGAGCCTAATGATGTGAAAGCCGGGCCCATTGTAGGTCGAGACCAAATCCATAGCGGAGCCTAATGACAGGGATTCGCAGGGAATTTCTGTTGAGACGTTGGTAACAACCAGTAACAACAGTCTGGAAACACATGTGAAGCCACTGCTGTTGACATACGCACTTCCATACAATAGGATGATCGTGAAAAAGGGCTGAACCAAAACGTCCAAACCGATTATTTTTCCCGTATTTCATTGTCCCAATGCTCGTCTATGAAAATCTATCTAAGTTTATTGATTTATAAACACAACAATCCACGTTTGTATGAAATCAGATAATGGAAGTCTTTAGTGAAATATATTTTTCTGTGTGCATTATTATAATTCAATTAAGATGCATGACAGAAAATAACCGGGTAGGCCTATTTATAACCGGATGAATGCCTATTTTGCATAAATGCCCGATAATTAAGGATGGTGATTTTTGGATAGGATAATTTTAACTAAACTTATTTAAATGGTACAATTATTGAAACTAAAATGTATTTAGAGGTACTGATTATTAGATATAAAAATCGTATGTGTGTGCTGGATTTAATCGTGGCTGAATCCTTTCCATTATTCTTCCACTCTATAATAATCTAACTGTAAAATGTTGAAAATAATATTCTGCAATTAGCTCGTAATATTGTTTATGTTAACAGCTATGGTTTTTAATTTACATTTTGTGTTGTTGTGATTTTGAAAATCAGTTTCATTACAATGCGTTTATATTTACTAGGTAGGAAGGATTTACTAGTATTATATTATATTTACTAGTAGGAAAACATTTTTTTTTTCTTTGGGCATAGTTTCGAACTGAAAATTTGATTTGTTCTGCTTTCATTACCAAACAAATAGCTACCATCCAAACTAACATCCAATAAATCACCAGTTTCTCGATGAAAAGTGCTATCAGCCAAAAATATTAGTTCAACTGACATTTTAAATTGATTTTTTTTCAATTTAGAATACTGTAATGGATTTTGCTGTCGGGAAATCCGTGCCTTGGAGTGAACGCCTCAAATGACTCATTGACGGTATCTTTGGAACATTTTAATCTATTTTTAAATTCATCAAGACATAAAAGGGTTTTAGTCATGATAACGAGCTGGTCTTATGCGAGGAAGTGGAGTGATTGTACATAATTGTTAACATAATACAGTATAGATATTTCATAGTCATATTCAATACACACGGCGACCAGTGAGTACAACACAAGACAGTGATATCACCTCGAACCGTACTCAACGACTGACGGTTTGCTTGATGTTTCCCACGGCAAAAAACTAT